TCCAGAACCGACCCTTTAAACCCGCTTCGTCCCAAAAGGTCTGGCTCAAAGAGGAGGCTGACCGCCCACCCATTAGTGGCCCCTGAAGAGGCAGCATCGTGTTGACCAGACGGGAGGGTCCCTCGGGCAGCGGGTTACGATCTCTCCCGTGTTACGCGCCCACGGGGGATTAAAGCTGGGCCTGCTGCAGACGGGGCGGCAGCAGCTGCGGGTGCTCTGCTTCCCAGGGCAGGGCTGGTGGCCAGGGCTCCTCTCCACTGCCTGCTAGAGGGTGGTGGATCCCCTTCTTCCTCCGCTTGTTGGCAGAGCTAGAAGGCTTTTGCTTTTGTGCCCGGAAAGGTCCGACATCTGCAGCAATCAGGAAAGGCGACAGAGCCCGGAACCGGAGCCGGGGCGACCTTTTTGTCCAAAACTTATGCAGATTTGGTGACAGCGAAACCGTTTCTGAACTGGTCTTGATTTCACCCAGTTGTGCTGAGAAGGAGCAAGAGCAATACCAGCCCCAGCGCCAGGCTTCCCTCGTCCCACCCGAAACCAGATTTACCTTGGGGGGGGCCGGAGGATCTTTCAGGGCTTCTATTTATGAACCATCCAGAAACAAAAAGAAGGCACTTCCTGCCTCAGTTTCCCCAGCTGTAACACGGGGGCAACGTCACCTCCCCTTTTCGGTGGGCCACCCGCTCAGAGAATGAATTAGGACAGATTCGTCCTGATTCGGTTATCGGCAGCGAGGAGCAGAAGCCCTGGTTTTAGACTGAACTGTCTGATCCTTTATCGCGCCGCTCGCTGCAGAAATTGCACCCGGTGAAAGAAAGCTCCCCCATCACCTTAAACAACCTGCCCTTGTGCCTCCCGGCCCCTTCACGCCTGAGCAGGTGTCTGCAGAGCAGCTGGAGCTGCATTATCTCCTGCCTGGTTCAGCATTATCCGGCACAGAAGAGATTTATGGCTGGGCGCTATCATCTCCCACTTCTGCGGCATAAACAAAGACATCTGTCAATCGCCCAGGCAGCGAGCGGCGGCTCAGGTGTGTTTGTCCAAGCCAGGTTTGAAAAACAGGTTGGGAAATAATCAGGGCCGTGACTCAGCTCAGCAAAAACCCTCCCGCTCTGCTGTGCCCCTGGGATGGGGGCTCCTCCGCAGGGTGCAGGGAAAGCCGTAGGGGCCAGGCCTCCAGAAAGGTGGGCGAGCCCCTTCCACACCGGCTGCAGCAGGTTTGACAGCTCTGAGGATCCCAAAGCACGGTCAGAAGCTCCCGCTCCGCTGTGCCGGGCCCTGGTCCCCCTGGGATGGGGGCTCCTCTGCAGGGTGCAGGGAAAGCCGTAGGGGCCAGGCCCTTCCACACCGGCTGCAGCAGGTTTGACAGCTCTGAGGATCCCAAAGCACGGTCAGAAGGATTTCACCCACCCCTAAAATGCTGCCACTTCTGGGGTGGGGGGTGGAGCAGCTGTACAGGAACACTGCACAGCAGCCATTAGCTCAGAGCATGGAGGCTGCCTGCCAGCTTAATGACATGCTCCTGGGGAACTAATCATGCCGGTTTAATTAACGAGGGGACGTGCTAATGACAGTCTGGAGGCAATGCAGATCTGACTTCCGGGAGATAATGTGCAGCCCGGGCAGCGCAGCAGGAGAGCGCTGCCTCGGTCGCGGTGGTAACGTCATGCATTCGGGGCCAAGTTCAGCTGTGGTGTAACACCCCGGAGGCTCACAAGTGGCTCCGATCTGCCTCTTGCTTGGCCCCCGGCTGGCGACCCTGAGGGCACGGTGTTTCGCACGCATTTCTGTACCAGGGCAATAGGGGTGTCCGGCAGGACAGGGTCCGGCTCACCTTTCTGCTTTGGAAAACCCCCCGAAGAGCTGCAGTCTTTGCCAGCACCAGCCAACCTGCCTTTCCCCACCTCATTAAGAAATGCTCGTTAACTCCGGAGGCCACAGGGATGCTGTGAAGAGACGGGTCCAAAGTCCGCGCCAGGCTGCGTCTCTCCCAGCTGGGATTGGAAACAAGCAGAGTCCAGCGGTCGTAGACGTCCAAGCTGGGGTTTCCCAGCCCAGGGGTGAGCCCTCCGCTTGCCCCTGTGGGACGTGAGCCCCGGGGGCAGAGCTTGTGGGGCATCGAGGCTGGAAAGAGGCAGGGGTGAGCGGGTCCAGCCCAGCAGATAAAAGCTAAAAAGCATGACTCTCAGCTCCTGGGCTCTCCGCCCCGGAGCCTGCAAGGCCACGGCCCTTCCTCCTCTCTGGAGGCCGACGGCCCATCGCCAGGGCCGTGGCACATCCCCACGCTCGCCCTGGCCTCAGAGCAAGGGGCATCAGCTCCAGGGAGGAGCGTCCCCAGCTGAGATGAGACCGCGGCGTTGGCCTTGGCGAGTCTCCTGCTCGGCTGGCGCAGCTGGGGTTTAATCTGCGCCGCTCCAATTAGCAGAGCCGTGCGGCTCCTCATCAGCCCGGGAGGCTAGCCAAGACCACCTGCAAAGGTGCCCGGGGAGGGGGGGAACGTGGCCCCGGCTGCTGCTGGCTCAGCAAGAGGAGGACGAAAGCCACCCCCAGCTCCTGCGGGGCCAGGCGGGCGCCCAGCTGTATCCTGCAAGATCAGAGCTATTTCAGAAGTTCAAGTCAGACCAGATTCCTCCGCCCAAGGGAGGAAACCTTTGTAGCCAGCCCAGTCCTCCAGGCACCGGGCCCCTTTCACCTGGGAGCATCTTAAGTGACGCAGAAAGCTGCAGGCAGCCACGCGTTTGCCTCGTTAAAAGCCCAGGGACAGCAGCGCCAGAGCCGTGTCCTGAGAAACACCTTGTCTGTTTACCGGCAAGCCTCATGCTGCATCCATGAGGGCAGGGGCAGGGGCAGGGGCGGACACTTGCTGGGGGTAAGGCAGTGGGTCGAGCAGCACCTTCCTAGCTGTCATTCTCCCGAGGGTCAACCTGGCCAGGTAGGACAGGCTGAACCAGGCTCACCTCCGACACGGCTGGATGGGGATAGGAGCATCCTCTCCGCTCACTGTGGGCACGAGCCCTGGCACCAGTCTGAACCCAGACTCCCACCCCACCTCCCTGCACCCTTGCCAGCTCAGAGAGGCCGTGCAGAAGTGGCACGTTGCCCTGTGGCCCCGTTGCAGCAATCAGTGCTATCAGCACAGATAACGCCGCCGTGATGCTCGCACCTCCACCTCCGAGACACCAGCCCCAGGCACCGGGAGCAGCTTCGGGAAGAACTCGTCCGTCGCTTGCAGCCACAGAGCCTGCCCCAATGCCACAGCGATGGGCACGGTGTAAGGCCACGGGCGGAAGGACAGGGAGACACAGATGCCACTATAGTCGTTCTGCTGGAAAAAAGGCTCCCTTTGTTACCAACCCCCTGGAGACCAGTCTCGCACCGGGAACCGGAGCTCTGCGCATTGGTCTCAATTCCCCCTTGGCCTGAGCCCAGCACCAGCCTCCTCCCTGGGCTCCCGCAGGGGTCACGCCAAGCAGGCAGCCGCTCCCAGGGACGCCTGCCAAGGGCTGGAAGGGATCCCCCTGCACCCAGGCTCAGCTCAGGCTCCCCCTGCACCCCACTGGCTCAGCCCTTCCCCGAGCTCGAGGGGATCTCAGCAGGCAGCGCCTTGTTTCCTACTGAAAACCGACCTCTCCAGCCCCCGCAGGAAGGGTTTGTTCCCCCCGCACGTCACAGAATTGGACAGTGAGGGGTGAAGGGACCTCAGGGGGTCACATCTAGTCCAACCCTCTGCTCAGAGCATCCCAGGCAAGGCTTTGTCTAGCCAGGTCTTATAAACCTCCAAGGATGGAGAGCCCACCACCACCTCTCTGGGGAGCCTGTTCCAGTGCTTCACCTCCCTCCTAGTGAGAGAGTTTTCCCTAACATCCAACCTCAACTTCTCTTTGCTGCAGACAGAGCCCATTGCTCCTTGTCCTGCCATCTGCCCCACTGAGAGCAGCCCAGCTCCATCCTCTTTGCAGCCCCCCTGCAGGGAGGTGAAGGCTGCTATCCAATCCCCCTCGGTCTTCTCTTCTGCAGAGTAAATCTGCCCATTTCCCTCAGCTGCTCCTCACAAGTCATCCCCCAGCCCCACAACCATTTTCATTGCTCTCCACTGGACTCTCTCCGGTGTGTCCACACCCTCTCTGCAGTGGGGGGCCCACAGCTGGACACTGGACTCCAGATGTGGCCTCCCCAGTGCTGAATAGAGGGGAAGAATCACTGCCCTCGATCTGCTGGCACTGCGCCTACCACTGCAGCTGTTCGCTGTTTCCACACCAGGGTCTTCGCTTCCTGGCCTAACCGGCGCCCTAGCTGTGCTGCACGCTCCGTGCCCCCCAGCCCTAGCGAAGGGATAGGATGGGTGAAGGGACACGGAGCAATCACAGCCCCAGGCCAAGCCGGGCTGGGGACAGAGAAGGGCTGGGCTGGGGGCCAGGGGCTAGGGCTGTCCCGGCCTCCGTATCAGCAGCCGGCAGTTGATCCGCCTGCTCTGCCGCAGGCCTCCTGCTCGGCGCCGATAAGCTCTGTTGTGCTAAACACGCTCCCCACAGCCTGGCGCCCAACGGCCCTCATCCGGCTGCACCAGCGTCGCGGCCTGTCCCCCCCGCACGCCTCGCACACACAGCACCCAGGGCTGGGCAGCCCGAACCGCAGGCCCAAGAGGAAGGGGCTGCTCCAAGCCAGCTCCCAGGGAAGGGGACGTGAGCCTGGCAGAGACAACCGCCTCTTGCTTTTCAATGCTCATCTCCAGCTCCATTGCAAGCCCTTCTGCTGGGAGCCCGGTCCCGGGGAGGGCTCCGGCAGGCCTGGCAATGGCGGGGCTGGCTCATGGAGTGACTTGCTCCAAATGTGCTGCTATGTGCATCGTGCCCACAAGCAGCCAGACTTTCCAGGGACAAAGCTAGAGGCAGCAGCCTGGTGCTGGGAGACCCACGGCAGCCCTGTGCAGGGGGGGGGATTCCCACATCCATCGCCAGGCCCTGCGTGAGCCCAGGGGAAGCAATCAGACAGAGGCATTTGGGAAAAAAGAAAAAAAGGCTTTTATTGACCTGCCAGCATTGGTAGCAAAGTCCCGGGGGCAGATGCCTGCCCAGGCAGGACTAAACACCCCCCCAAATAATAACTTACAGAGAGCTACAGGTCAGCAACATGGGGCAACATTCGTGCTTCCACGCCGGGCGGGTGGAGCTGTCGGGCCCACGCAGCGTCCTGCGGGGGGGCGGGAAGGCAGGGGGTGGGCAAGGGCATTTCACAGCGACCGGCACCTACGTGAAATGCTGGGGCACGTCAGGATAAAGCTAGTCTGTGTGTCCCCCCCTCAGCCATCGTAACCCCGCGGCTGGCGAACTGCGGCCGAGCCGCCCCGGGAAAGGAACGTGCTGGTGGGAAACGGAGACGGCCGGGAAGCGCTGTGCAAAACCTACCCACGACCAGGAGCGCGATGGCTGTAGCCTGCCGGGGCAGGCGTGCAATACTGCAGTGAGCAGGGAGGACAAGGAGCCAGTGCTGGAGATGCACACGGGGGCGAGCAGGCAATGCACGGGCTCACCGCACGCGATGCCGCTTGCTCTTTCTACCCACGGGAGGAAGCTCCATGCTCTGCTTCCCCTGGGCCAAGCAGCCATCGTCCCGGCCCCTCTCCCGCTGTCTTTGGGCCCCTGTGCAATGAGGCTGCTCCAGCTAATACCGACATTTAGAGCCATTAAAAAAAAAATGACAGCCTGCGAATGACCCCCCGCACTCTGCCTGGCTGCTGCAGGGTCAGTCCCAAAAGCAGAATCCAGGGCTGGGGTCTGCAGCAGGGCTGCAAGGCTGACGGGTGCTGGGAGTGACGTCCCCCAAGGGCAGAAGGGATGGCGCCTGCCTCCCCAGGAGGTAAGCAGAGCCAGGGTACGAGTCCCCCCCGAGCAGACGGGGGTCTCCATGCAAGGCAGACCCAAAACAAGGGGTGTCCTGGTGACTGGCTGGAAGCTGCAGATGCTGCCAGGTCCCCGGGAACGCGAGGCATGAACCCTTTAGGGTCGCAGTGCAAGGGGCGGCTCAGAGGCAAGGCTTGGGGCGGGAGGCCAGGCTGCAAGAGGGGAAAATCAACTTAAATAATCATTTAAAAAAAAAAAGGCCTCTCGGTTTTCTTCACAGCTTAGAGCCATTCCCTCGGCCTGGGCTGCCAGCGCTGGCTTAGCCCCAGCTATCCCCTCGCCCTGCGAGGCAGCTGATCCCGCCTGGAGGACGTGCCAGGGCTGCGAGGCCGGAGGGAAATGTGCTGCGGACCAAGTGGTGAGATGCGATAACACCCTGGGCCAAAGTCCCCGGGTGCCCTCCAGGGCGTTCACGTGAATCGGGGCTCAGATGTCCTGCAGAGAGCTGCCAGGGCTTGCTGACCGCAGAGGACCCCGTCACCAGCCTGACTGCCCCCAGCACCTGGAGACGCTTTCATTCAGCTAGCGCCGGGCCCGAGGCTCCCATCCAGTCCTCCCTCCTGCCGATGCTTCCACCCAGGTGGGAACAGCAGAGGAGAGGGGCTGCGCCCACAGGGCAGGCCCCGGTGTCCGGAGGGCTGAGTGTCGAACAGGACAGACGTGCGGGGTGGTGGCACGGAGACGGGACTGTCTCCTCACACCCTCGGTGCAGAGGGGTTTGGGGAAGCAGAGATCTGTCCCTCTGTCCCGCGCGGTGTCTGTGCAGCCACCTCGGCGCTGCACTGGGCTGCTCCCCCAGCTCTCCCCAGCATCCTTCCTGCGGCCGTGTCGGGGATTTGGAGTGCAAGAGCCGGCGGTGCCCAGCGCAGGAGAAGCCCCATCACATAGTGTCAGCCGGGACCCGATCCTGATCCTGCCACAATCCGCCACCGCCTGGGGCTGAGATGCCTCGAGTGTGAGCAGTCCAAGTCTTACAGTGATACGGAGCCACGGAGGAGCAGGGCTGGCGGGGGAGAATCCATTCACAGCCGCTGGGTGGATCCTGGGAGATCTCTTTGGTACGAGGCGAGGTTCTCAGAGGCCAGGGATCCGCGGCGCTGGGCCCTGGGCTTGGGAAGGCAGCAGCAGGGGGTGGCTGTGCCGCCGCTGGAGTTCACTTCGGTTTTGGGAGAAAGGCACATGGACGTCGGAGCCCCCTCCCCAGCCCCAGGCTGCAGCAAGAGCCCCCAGCCCAGAGCCTGGCCCCCTGCCCTCGCCAGCACCGCGGCCACGGGGGCAGGTCACGGGACGGGGGCAGCGTCAATGGGGAACACTGGGCACGGCCGAGGTGGTTCTTCACACTGCGGGGGCTGAACGGTTTGGCTTCCAGGGGCAGGATCCCCCCTCTCTGTTGCTCTGGGCCCCGTGGACAGAGGACCCCAAGTCCTTGCTGACAGGTCCCAGAGATTGAGTCTTTCCAAGCAGGTGACCTCCTGCCCCCCTACTCCCCTGCCCCCGCGGCTGGGGTGGGGTGGGGCAGGGGGGCACAGCCCCGTCAGGTCATGTAGCGGGTGATGGCTCGCAGCGCGTACAGCAAGGCCGCCTGCATCCGGGCTTCCAGCAGCAGCAGGTTCACGTGCACCTGGAAGGGAGGAGCGCGGGGTCAGGGCTGCAGCGCGGTGCCCTCCTCTGCTTCCCCACAGCCCTGTCTTGGGGTGGGGGGAGGTAGCACCCTCACGGCTCCACACACAGAGACGGGCACTGGAGACAGCTCTCCCCATGCTGTCCGCAGACCCAACCCACATCAAGGAACGCTTGGTTTGGTTCAGCGGTTGCCCCCCAAGACCCTCCAACACCCCTATCTGCTCTGGCAGGGGAGAGCGGAGGGGTGGGGAAACCACAGCACCTTCTCGGAGTGCTTGAAGTGGCGCCAGAAGTGGGTGTACATGCGCCGCGTGGTCTTCTCGGGGTAGCAGGCCACTGTCTTGATGTAGACCTTCAGGCTGCGCTCCAGGAGTTGGTTCACTTCCCCGTAGTCGTAGTCGTCATACCTGTGCAGGGGGGAGGCAGAAGGGGGGGACCCTTTTAGCCAGATGCTTGTAGAGCCCGGGTGAAAGCAAGGGGGGAGGCAGGAAGGCCACCTCTAGGGCTCTGGCCCCGGTCGCCTACCGGATGCCGAAGACGCAGTGCACGTAGTTCCAGATGGCACGGCGGAGCGTGGAGGTGTCCACGCCGCGGTGCATGGCCATGGTGTGGTAGGTCAGGTTGTAGACCACCTGGAACTTCTCGTCCAGCAGTTGCCCCACGTCCGGGTACAGGCGGTTGATCAGCGAGTAGCCGTGGTCTTCCCACGTGTAATCCTGCAGCAGAGGGACGTTGGCTCAGAGGCTCCAGGGGGGAACTTGGGGCCTGACTCGGGACCCCCCCTGAAAGGGGCTTTGTATGGACAGAGCCCAGGTGGGCTCCAGCCAAGCCGCAGGGCGGGGAATGCAAGGTGCTGGAAGAGGATGCTCAGCCAGGGGTTGTTAACAGGGGCCAGGTCCAGAGCAAAAGCCGGGCTCTGGGCTACAGCACGAGCTGCCCCGCTGTTCGCTAGACCCCATGGACGCTCGCTACCCCAGTGACAACCAGCACAGCCCGGCCCCTAGCTCAGGGGCAGCAAACCAGGGTCCCAGCCTGGCCGAGACCTCTAGAGCCACACCAGTGCCTTCAATGCCCACGTGGCCGGCTGGGGGAGGTGTTGGGAGCAGGGCTGGGCCCAGGACGTACCTGCGCTCGGAAGGTGGGGGGGGCCTGTTCTCCTCGCCGTGTGAAGTCCTTGTAGCCGAAGCCGGGATCCTCCACGAAGCACAGGACGTTGTGGGGCAGGGAGTGCTCAACGATGTCTACTGGAGACAGGGTCAAGGGGGCGTGAGCTGTGGCTGCACATTGCTGCTTAAAGCCCAGACCGCCCCCCCACCTCCCTGGTCCAGCCGGTCGTGGCCAAGGCCCGTCCCCAGGACAGCAAACTGCAATGAGCTCAGGCCACACTTCTCGCCTGTTATCGCAGGGGACCAGCATGAGCCCCAGCCCCCCTCTCTCCATGCCTTCCCCAAAGTCAAGTCGGCACAAGGCAGGGGCCGCTGCAATGCAGCCCCCAGACCTGCCGAGAGCAGGGCAGGGCAGGGCGGGGCGGGGCGGGCTCCCGTGGGTGCAGCTCCCCCTCACCCGAGGGGGCGACAAGCAGGCTCTCCGTCTTCTCCAGCTCGAAGCGGGTCTCCATCTCCTCCTGGGTGACCTCGTCCTCCTCCAGCTGGCACTCCTGCAGGAGCTTCATCCTCTCCATCAGCACCTCCACCTCCTGCATGGCGTCTCTGCCCTGGGCGCAACGAGAGAGAGTGGGCATGAGGGGTCAGCACCCCATGGGCCCCAACACCCTGGGCACAGGTGTGCAGAGACGCACTGGGCACCTCTGGCAAGGGGGTGCTCATGCCAGCTTCCTCGGCATGCCCCTGGAAGGCCAATGCCACACATCTGGGGCACTAAGCTCTGCCCAAATGGCTGGATTTCGCTTGGCTCCGGGCCTAGGGCAGCTGCCTGTGTCAGGGGTGCTGTAATGTCCAGTCTGGATATGAGTGGCAGAGCTGTGGTGCAAAAGCCCCCCAGGGTCCCTATGCTGCGGGCTGGGAGCAAGAGGGTCAAATTCTCTCTGCTGGAGTTGTGGCTTCTTCATGGTGTCGGATGGACTGGAGGGCCCGTGCCCCCGGCACCCTCTGGCTAAGGCTTCGGCAAGACCCAGGCACTGCTAGCAGGTCTCCCTCCCTTCTCCATCTAATGAGGAGCATCTAACTAAGTCCCCCATCTCCTTCCCTTCTTGGAGGGTGGTATCAGGCCACGTTGAGCTGCCAAAAATATAACAAGCGGGGAGCTTCAGCAATCCAGGGGCAACTAACAGGCACACCTGCCGAAGCAGCGAGACAGGCAGCTGCGTGACAACTGGCTTCCCTGTGGAGGAGTCACTGGAACCGGATGGGTTTCTAGTGATTCAGCGTATGACAACAGCAGGAGAGACAGACCTGTTCTAGCCCTGACTGATCCCCTCCTGCCAGCCGGCTGAGCAGAGACGAAACGATCCAGTTAGACTCGTTGTGTCATTTGGGGCCTTCGGGCAGTTTCGAAAGAGCCCGATGCATGGTGACAAAGCTGGGGGCTTGAGGGGGGCAAGGGTCAGGAGGAAAGGCTGAAACAGCTCAGGTCATTTAGTCTGGAGAAGGCAAAACTGAGGGGGAGTCTGATCACAGCCTTCAAATCCCTGAAGGGCGATGACGGAGAGGATGGAGATGGGCTTTTCCAGCAGGAGAGGAGGAACTTTCTGACTAGGAGAGCGGTCGAGCACTGGGACAGGCTGCCCGGAGAGGTGGGGATAGATCCGGATGGAGTCAGGGCTGATCCTGCCTTGAGCAGGGGGCTGGACTGGGTGACCTGGTGGGTCCCTTCCAGCCTGACTTCCCTGCATTTAAGCCCGACACATCCAGGGATGAACCAGCACCCGGCCAGCCCAGCCCAACCACGTGGTGCGTACATCACCAGCCCCCCAAAGCAAGCCCGCCCGCAGGAGGAGGGGAGGGGACTGGGGGCTCCCCAACTTACCCCGGAGCCACTGACCCCCTCCTCAGAGGCTGGGCTGCTGTCACAGCTGCGCGGGGAGGGCGGCTGGAAGGCATGTCCCCCCTCGTGGTCGATCTCTGGGTTGATGCCACAGCCGAAGACGAAGGAGGCGAGCGAGTGGTAATGAGTGAGGAGCACCAGGGCCTGGATGAGCTCGGCCAGCGACCAGCTGTTCTCTCCCGTCTTCAGGAGGGCCTGAAACACCCACCGCCCTGCTCAGCCCGGAGAAGGGATGCCCCCCGCCCAGGGTGTCCCGAGGCACAGCGGGGTCCTACGGCAGCCCCCTCCGCCCAGCCTAGCTCCCCCCAAACAAACTCAGAGGGTTCAAGGTTAACAGCCAAGTGCTTTGTTAACCTCTTCATGGCCAGGCCTTGCAAAGCGACCCAGCGGAGAGGAAGCACAGCGACGAATTGCAAGGCTGGAAGGGAGCTGGCAGCTCACCTCGATGTGCTCCTTCGTGATGAGCCAGGGCCGGTGCGCCAGGATCTTGTTGATCTCGTTGAGGTTCCTCAGCTTCTGGGGGGCACAGTGCAGGCCCTGGAGCCACTCCGGGTCCCCCCCGGCTTGCAGGAACTCGCCCATGTGCAAGCCCACCAGGTAGGAGCACTGGTGCCTGGCCGCCGCCTGAGAAGGGGCAAGGCACACCGATGGCTGAGCACAGACAGACACGTCACCCCGGCGGGTCCCTGCCCACCCACAGCCTGCGTTGCATGGACAGACCTCCCCGGTGCCCCCCCGAGACAGGGCTCTAGCTCGGAAGAGACCCTCCCGGCCAGGCCCCGCGCGGGACGCACGTACCATGATGGCGATGTAGTGGCGCTTGTGGTGGGGCAGGGGCCCGTCCATGCACAGCAGCAGGTACTGGGTCCTCCAGAAGCTGGAGAGGTATTTGGGGTGCAGCCCCATCACCATGGTGATGTTGTCCACCCTGCCCGTGGACACGAAGGCCTCGATGAAGATCCGCCGCTGGGCGTTCTCCGCCCCCTCCTGCAAGATCTGCGGCACACGGGGGGACAGGGGCCGTGAGGGAGCTGAGATGCCGCAGGGACCCTCCGCACCCAGCGCTCGCCTTCCAGCTAATCCACCGGCCGGGGCACACTGCACACCTGGCCCCACCGGGCAGTGCCCTCCAGTCCTCTTCCCCCAGCACCGAGGCAGCCCCCCTGCCCGCTGGAGGTAAAGCCAGGGCAGGGCAGTGCTACCGCAGGTGCTGGCCTCATTTCAGGGTTTTCAGCAGAAAAGATCCCTCTGGACCTGGGCATGCAGAGATCTTCAACCACGGGACAATCCTAATCTAAAGCTGCAATGCCCCCCACCTCCAGGTGCAGCCAAGAGATGAAGCTACGTGCCCGGTGCCAGGCCGAGTCAACAAGGGCAGAGCTGGGGAGTGAACCCAGGCTATAAAGCAGGGCAGAGGTAATACCCCATGATCACATCGCTCCTCAAGGCAGGGCCCTTGGCTTTCTGTGTCTGGACAGCACCTGGCACAAGTGGGCTGGGACTCCTGCAATACGGATGCACAGCACCCGCCGAAGCCAGGCAGACCTCTCCGTGCCCAGATCCCTCCTTTGCCCCCTGCCCCGAGTCCTCCATGGGGCTGAGAGCACCCGAGCGCTCTGTGGAGCTGCCCTTGGCTTCAAGCTGCAAGCTCCGGCCCTGGAGGGGAGCGGCCGGCAGCACCCCCAAGCTGGGCTCCGTCCTCTCCCTGCCAGGGCCGGGCACCTTGCCCGCTGATGCAACCCGGCTGTTTGTTCAGCTCCTCCCCTCCTCATCCCACCACACACACCCCCTCCACTTGGCCAGGGGTTAAACCACGATAAAACCGCAGCTCCCGGAGAAAACAGGACGGCCTGAGCAGCCCAGGCACGCTGCAAGGCTGCAAGGAGAGGACAGCCGTGTTTACCGGGCAGCTTCCTCATGCCTAGTTCTCATATGTCAGCGCCTGAGCAACAGGCAGGGCACGTGGCCTTAGTCACCCCGGGCAGGTGACGCAACGACAGGGGTATTTGTGGCTGGGCTGGAATTAGCGCCTTGTTTGTGCCGGCCCGGTGTAACGCAGGCCAGGAAGCGAGCTGTAGGGCTTCTCCCCACCAAGGCAGCTCGCGACCCCAGCCAACAGCGTCCCACCCCTTCTGGGGACAGAGCGCTCTCCCGCTAGCCAGCCCTGGAGAGAGATCCCCAACTGCAAGATGGGGAAACTGAGGCACGGGGCAGGGCAGTGACTTGCCCTAGGGCACAGATTCAGGGGAAGGACCGGGGATGGAGCCCAGGGCTCACGTCAGGAAGCAAATGGGGGGTGGGGGGGGGGAAGACCCCTTTTCCTGCTCAATCCAGACTGGAGGAGAGAGGGACGTGCCGGCCACAACCCTGCTGCAGTCTGGAGAGGGGGCTGCCAGGGATGGAGCCACGGGGGACGACAGACAGCCACAGGGGCGAAAACAGGACCCAGGCTTACCTCTTCCACAGGGAGGAAGGAACTCGGGCCTCTCCCCAGCTGCCGCGGAGTCTTGATCCCTCTGTCCTGGGGAAGACAAGGCAGGGATGGTGAGACACGGCCCAGCCCGCCCTTAAAAACCGGCAGAGGCTCCACCCCCGCCACCTACGAGCAGTCTCGGGAAGGGCAAACGCGGAGGCAGGAGGGCTGGGAGCCGACTCAAGCACCTGCGCGATGGCCCGGCTCCAGCCCCCGCCTGGCTTGGCGCTTCGAAGGGTACCGCTGCTGCCTGATGAAACAGTCCCGTGCCGTTGCACGGACAAGCTTTCACTCCGCGGGGATGCTCTTGCATCAGCAGAGGCTGGCTGGCAGGGACGAGCCCCTGCTGTGGCCCCCTTGCCTGATTACTGTGGAAAGCCCAGGAAATTTCACGGTGCGAGATCGGCAGGGCGTGAGCCAGCGCGCGAGAGGGGCAGGGTCGGCCCGTGCCACGCGCTGCCGGGTGCGCTCGTCCGGGAGGGGCGGTTAATGAACACCTCCGAAAACAATCAGTCCAAGCCCAGACTCGACAGCCAGGGACCTTGGAGCTGTAGCGACCGGCACAGGCGCGCGCTCGCGGCTCAATCCCCGGCTCTGCTCCCAAAGGCACCCACCGGTGGTGGAGGATGCTGCTAGCCCAGCGACACCGAGGGACTGGAGAGGTCCCGAAGGGCAAGCGAGGGATGCCCAGAGCTGGACTCCTTTCTCAAAGCCTTCAATCCCCCCCGTCCCATCCAGCACCGGGCACAGAGGAAACTGGAGTGCTCCGGGGGGCAGAAGCCAACCACGGGCCCGCTCAGGCATCTGGGATGCCTGCCAGCCCGCAGGCTCCTGCTAGCAGGTGCCCAGGGGTGTTTTTTATTCAAGCTACTGTAAGACAAGCTGTGCCCTGGCCAAGGGGACAGAACGCCCCGTGTCTGCTCCCGAATCGGGCGAGATTAGTGAAGCATGTGGGAAGGGGAGCCAAAAGCAGCATGCCGAGGGGGGAGCCTTTGGAAACAGTGTCCGTCCTCCATGCTTCAGGGTTACGCAGGCCTGCAAAGAGCCCTGGGCATGTCCTGCGGGACTCCTCCATGCACCCACTACAACACAGCACCGGCGACCTGGGAAGCGAGAAAGCTGGGGCTCTCCCCAGCGGGACCTTCCCACGGTTATGCTCCGAGGGTCGGTTTTGGAGCCGGCGGCAGGAGCAAAAAGCAAAGCCGCTGGCCCCAACCGAGCCAACTGGCACTGCATTTCTCCGGAGAGCTGCAGCTCCTTCTGGCATCAAAGCACCCAGGGGGCACGAGCCATGCCAGTGACTTGGTTGCAGTTGGGAGGGTGCGAGGTGAAAGGCAAGCTTTGGAAGCTGGAGGGAAGAGCAGGAGAGAGGAGGGAACATGCATTTAAAGGTGCCCGATTCCCAGCAGGTGAAGGTGGGGTTTTGCATTTCCCTCCCCTGCTCGTGCTGCAGTTGCACCCCAGATGCTCCCCGCATCGGGCCCCACGGTGCTAGGTGCTGCACGGACACCTCCTGCCCCAACAACCTCACGGCCCAAGAGGCAAAGCGTGGCGGGAAGGGAA